CTAAAATTCCTTTAAAAATTAGGAAATTCCACTCATATCTATGCGGTAATAAGTTTGCAATCTATATTTTGCTGAGTAAAATATATCAAAGTGAGGAAAGGCTGTTATCAACAGGTCTTCAAAAACCTGTGATCCCCGCTAAATCTACTTTTTGAAAACCAACGTTAATCTCTTCGAACAACAAAACTGAATCTTTCACTTACAGAAACTCGTCTTCAGCACAGGTTTGCTTCTGATTCTCACAGCCTTTCTCGTCAGTCCCATCTTGACAATCAATGCTACCGTCACACTTCCAGTCTGACGGCAAACAAACATGCTTGTTGCCACTGAAATCGGCACAAGCAAACTGACCTTCAGAACAACTTGCTGAAAATGAACTGGTTAAACACGTATTTCAACTTTTATACACACCAGATGCGATCAAAAACTTCAACCAAATATTCCTAAGTCCTCTAGTGTACAGTGAACAACTATCTCACTTCCGCTAAACCACTAAGATTAAAGAACTATGAGTAAAAATTGCAAGCAATTATGAAAAATTAAATGTGACAAGCAAAAATGAGGAACTGGTTAATTTTGAGAAAATATATCGCTCAGCCGACGCCTAGTGTAACAAGCAAAGCCAGTAAAAAACTTGAAACAAAGTAAATGAAATTATGAAATACCATTTGCACAGTCCGCCTCATCAGAAGCATCTTTACAGTCAGCTTCTCCGTCACAAACCCATGACTTAGGGATGCATTGAGCAAACCGTTCTTTACTTTCGCGTGCATAAAAAGGTAAACCTGAAGACTCGCCTGAACATCGAAAGTCTTCCGCGTTACTACAGGTCAACAAGTCTAAAAAACCATACTAAAAGACGAAGTGACACTCATATTGAGAATAACTTCTAAGAAGACAGAAAACAAAACCCACCTTACCATATCCGTCACCCTGAATAAACAAATAAACAGTAACTAGATAAAGTTTTCATGAAAGTCCTACCGACGCTTATGGCGCCGTCATCAATTTTAATAATGAAACGCAAAAATTCGAATCAGGAATTGAGAATGGCATTTTAAATAACCTTCAAAAGAACATCTTAAAACGTCAATTCATTATAAATAAATATTCCCATTAAAGAGCATAATAACAAACTCGGAAAACTTACTGCAATGTTTCTCATCCTCTTCTTCCGTGCAGTCCCGGTCCCCATCACAACGCCATGAACTAGGAATACATCTACCATCCGCACATTGAAATTCTGTATCTTTATGACACGCTAAACAAAAAAGTACTCGGCGTCAATCATTTTTTCAAAAAATTTCCTTCCAATTTTCAGCAAAAAACTGATGCGCTAAGAAAACGCTCGTCGCCACTAAACCCAACAATTTGAATGACCAGAGACAATGGCCTAACGCTTTAATCATAGCAAATAGTGAATAATAACGTCAAAAACTATCTTTTTTCCAGCTGTACAATTCCTAGTAAAACCTATAATCATCCTTAAAGTAATATTCAAATCCAGTTCCTGAACAAGATCGGTAATGCTGAAGCATTTCATAGAATAATTCAGTACGTATATGGGGATACTCCAGCAGAAAAGTACAGAACTTTTGCTTTTACCAGACTTACTCAGAATTCTAGCTTCTAGACCTGAAATAAGTAAAACCACCTACCCTGTATTTCTTCAAAATTTTTTGCTGCCCTTTAAAAAAATTCATCAGGTAAAATTTTTGCCAGAAACTGCAATAAAGTGGAGTTCAGACGCCTTTATTAACTTAAGATGGCACAGACAACAGCATAAATTGAATAGCGCCGCCAACAGCTGCTGGAGTGATCAAACTCTCCAGTATACTACTGAGCTTACTTTTCCCACCTCCACTGTCTTAAAAAGTGCTACTTTTATTATTTTCCCCTCTTACAATATTTCTTCAGTGTATCCTTTAG